TGCATTGGGGGTAAGCAAACGCACCAGGCAAAGCTCCAGCTAGGGAGACTGTAATGTAAACGGACAATATATCTTTCATTGCGCGGTGTGACGTCAGACTAAAGTTGAGCCTTATCAGCGGTGATAAGGACCTCAACTTTTTTGGCTGCTTTTTTACATGCAATGGGGGAAATCCAGCGCTCCAGGCGAAGCTTCGGCTAGGGAGACTCTAATATAAACATGCAGTATATCCTTCGTTGCATGGTGTGACATCAGACAAAAGTTGAGCCTTATCAGGTGTTATAAGGGCCTCAACTTTTTCGGCTGCTTTTTTACATGCAATGGGAGAAAGCCCATGCATCTGGGAAAGCTTCAGCTCGGGAGACTAACATAAACGTACAATATATCTTTCATTGCGTGGTGTGACGTCAGACAAAAGTTGAGCCTTATCAGTGGTGATAAGGGCCTCAACTTTTTTGGCTGCTTTCTGGCATGCAATGGGGGAAAGCAAATGCACCAGGCAAAGCTTCAGCTAGGGAGACTGTAATGTAAGCGTACAATATATCTTTCATTGCGCGGTGTGACGTCAGACAAAAGTTGAGCCTTATCAGCGGTGATAAGGGTCTCAACTTTTTTGACTGCTTTTTTACATGCAATGGGGGGAATCTAGCGCTTCAGGCGAAGCTTCAGCTAGGGAGACTCTAATATAAACATGCAGTATATCCTTCGTTGCATGGTGTGACATCAGACAAAAGTTGAGCCTTATCAGGTGTGATAAGGGCCTCAACTTTTTCGGCTGCTTTTTTACATGCAATGGGGGAAAGCCCATGCATGAGAGAAAGCTTCAGCTCGGGAGACTTTAATATAAACGTACAATATATCTATCATTGCGCGGTGTGACGTCAGACAAAAGTTGAGCCTTATCAGCGGTGATAAGGGCCTCAACATTTTTGGCTGCTTTTTAAACATGCATTGCGGGAAAGCCAACGCATCGTGAAAGCGTCAGCTCGGTAAAATCTAGTATAAACGTACAATATATTTTTTGTTGCACGGTGTAACGTCTAATGTTGAGCCTTATCAGGGGTCGTAAAGACCTCATCTTTTTCGGCAGCTTTTTTGACACGCATTGCGGGAAAGCCAACGCATCAAGGGAAGCTTCAGCTCGGGAGACTCTAATATAGACGTATAGCAAGGTATATGCAAACTGGTAGCGTCACTTTCATAGAAGCCCATGGATCCAGTAGTCCGCGCCTCGTTTCCACCATCGCCATCTACATGAGGAGGGGACAACTAAGAGCAAACGAAAAATGAAAAATAAAATATGGCGTCACAACCGGAAGCGGTAGCAACGTCGCGCAGTTGCCCTACATGACGCGAAATAGAATTTTTTAAACTGCTGACCTTTTACGTGCCGTTTTTGATACGCAATTTTGTTGCGCCTTAACTGTGTCTCGCTAATTGCATGCAAGATAGAAAAGAAAAAGAAACAAAGATTATGTTTGCAAAGTTGTTTTATTAGCCATATGGCATACTTGCAATATGCACAGGAAACTTCGCAGAGGTAATTGTGAGACAACTGTTCACTAACATCATAGCATAACAGTCCGAAAACTCACGTTGCCCAATCGTCAGAAACCACTGCAGCGAGACAGCAGCTTTGAAAATATAGCTTTGGCAGCTGTAGAGTACAGCGTCTCGTTGGTTAGCGTGTCGTATTCACCGTCACCAGAGGCGAGGGCACGCCGGCCATGCACCAGCGAAAGCAGTCGGCAGTCTAGGAGCGGCTCTCGACACATTCTGCGAGCTAGTTGAGCTCTGAAATGCCACACCAGTAGACAGCGCATAAAAAGATAAGTAAGCTACTGAAGGTACGCACGAAACCACCACGGAAAAGTGAGTGATGCCTCGTTAGCCTGACAATGCACCCAACCAAAGAACACGCCGAACTAAACACACGCTCCAAGGTAAAACCGTTGGCTCATGTTACCAGACTATTTGCATGTGCCCGCTGTTTCTGAAACTAAATGAACGAGATCGGGTGCTCAACCACATACCAAAAACTAAAGTTTTCTTTAAATAATTTACTATTTTTTCGTAACAAATAAAATTAAAACTATCGATAATAAACACTAAATATATTCTTTTGTTTTCAATAGTTGCCCCTCCTGATCTAATCTCGCTTCAATCGTCACGCGGTTGTTGATGCCATTTCGGAGAAAGAAGCCCACCCCGGTACAAAAGTAAGCTCATCACATGACCCAGCCAATTCTATATGGCAGGCTAGTCGAGAACCCAGGAGGTGTATTGGCTAGCAGAGACAAGACATCATTTCCCTTACAATAACTTCTTCAACCAGCAGCTGCTGTCCTGTCACAGAAATATGGTGACAGCAATGATCGACATTTGTCATGCTCCAATAGCCCAGCTGGTGCCGAGTGTATTGCAACACTTCTAGCCAAAACAAAAAATACACAATCGACTATGCTGAAGCTCTCAACCACAGCTAGTCAATATTGAAATGGGCTTGGCAAGCTTATGCTGATTTGCTCATATCCTCTTTTTAGCCAAAAGCATATGTACACACGAAAGTGTCCTATGGCTATATTACTAGGCAGTAACCTTCTGTAAAATTACGTTAAAACAAGTGTCAAACAATGCTACATGAAAGAAAACTCACCACATTGCAAGAACATTGCACTAGTCCATGTCTGCCTTGTCCCTATGCTTTGAGTGTACATCATAGTTACTTTCCTAGTGACAACACTGTAAACTTGTTTTAAATGACAAGCATAGCAGCCACTACATCTTAGAGTTAAGCTGTGTATCTCTTTCTCGCCCAAATTTTTTCTAAAGCAGAACAAAATTTTATGATGTTTTTTTTTCTATCTAAGAGGCCATTGTGAAGCATGCAAAAAAAATAAAGAAGGCTGTAAGTACAACGGTTTTCACAGGAGAATGGGATTAATTTGCTGCACATATGGGTACATGCACTCTGCTATCTTACCGGAAAGAGAGTTGCTTTCAGTCCCTGTCAGGAGGTCTTATAAAATACAAGCAAGGTTTCTTCTGACCGAAAAAACTTTTGTCATGGTTAGCTGTTGTGCAAAGCGTTCAGCACCTTAAGGTAAAATAATACCTAGAACGGAGCGTGCCTATGTCCACAAGCCGACTTCACCAAATGCTGCTTCCTCCTGCATTATGCTTTTGATAGATTCCCAGCATGTCCCAGTTCCTTTTTTTTTTTGGCTGCGCTTCAAGACTGCCATTTGAGGTCGGCTCTTGCTTTCTTTTTCCACTCTATGTTTAGTACGAAGTGTGCCAACTGCATCCTGGTATCCGGTGTACTGGATATAAATACATTCTTGCATTGCCAGCAACAAAAACCAACTTTCTCTGCAACAATGTTTCAAGAAGACATAAGAAAGCTCGCTCGATTCGAATAATTGGAATTGCATGAAGATAGCTCCTAAAATAATGTGTATACTTGACGACATCGTGTGTGCACATTTCCGCATGGATGACGCCATTACTGTGAGGCGCCACCATAAGAAAATGGGGCTGAAGAAGGAACAACATTTAAAAAGCGTATTGCTCGACTTTTGCAGAAGCTACCAAAGTAGTTTCGGTTCTAATTACAGCTCTGCTTACTTCTCTACATCACTTTTTTCGTCATGCCCTGTACACTGGTCACAGGGTCGGAGAGGATTAGAGCTAAAGTTCAGAGTATTTTTTTTTTCATAGAAAAAAATGCATGTGCCACACAAAATGGGCCAACCTCACGATTCAACAGAGGTTTAATTAAAATGCAGACGGAAACACAAGAGTGGCAAACATTAATTAAAATTGTGCACAAGAGGCCAAGTTTATGAGCAAGCACAGCAAGGCAAAACATGTTGCTAAATGGAACATGCGACAAAAAGAGGGGAGTGCCCTGCTGCTCAAATGAAAAATTATTTTAAAGAAGCATTCGCTAATTCAAAAGAAAGCTTTTAGACAGACATTTTGGATTTTGTTTCTTAGTATGTGATCAGCTATGGTTCGAAATTCGGTGTCACCTCCATATTGTGCACTTTTGCTAGTCATTTACCTCCACAGAATAGAATGGCTCACAATTTTTTTCCCTAAATTTAGACAGAGTGCATGTTGCTAATGAACTTGAGCACAGTATAAACTAGGAAGACTATAAGAGTTTTGTGTTGTTATACGTGAGAGCCGCAGATTAAAGTTGAACCTTTTGATGTAACGAATCACTGGGAACTGATGTAACGAACCACTGGGTATAAAAGACACCAGTGTGCCTATACCAAATTAAAGGTTGATAAGAAAATGCAGAGAGAGAGGGAGAAATAGAGAGGAAAGGCAGGAGGTTAACCAAGCTTGGCCCGGTTGGCTACCCTACACTTGGGGAGGGGTAAAGGAGGAATAATAAAAAGGAAAGAGAAGAGTATTCAGAAAGAGATGGATGAATAGTCAGCTCGAGACAACACAACACGGTTTCACGCTGTTCTTTCACAAGCACTCGGTGAAGTCCCGTGGTCCTTAGGAACACAAGAGTGCTTTCATGACTTTTGCATGTATGTGAAACCGTCAGCCAAGGTCCCAGGATCTTCTTTTCTGTAAGCGGTCATGAATCCAGCTGACGGAGCTTGGCTTCCATAATACGTCGTTCAGACTGGTATGCTGGGCAGTGACATAGAATGTGCTCAAGCCTCTCCTCGCAGGCGCAGATGTTGCGTGCCTGCACTGCTCGCCATTCCAAGAAGACAAGAATGCTGCATTCGTAAATGCCACGCCCAACCTCACTGTGACCCAGACACAGTACCCTGCTTGTAAGGCACATCTCATGTAGAAAACAAGAACTGCTTCCTGGGGCAGGTCTCTTATAATAAAGTGGATCAAACTGTAGCGTTAGCCTTTCAGATTGTCTATGGTAATTGTGTTATCATGACGACAATATATTACGAAGGCATCTAGGAATGGAGATGTGTTTGCCTTGTTAGGATAGGAACACATTCCATACGTAGTTGCTTTTGCAGACAGCTTGCTGCACATTTTATTCATACAATGTGAACTCATTACACATTGGCACAAAGAAAAAGTGAACTGTAAACACGAAAATGAATAAGGAAATATATTCCTCATTGCGAGAATTGCAAGAAAGCTCATCATTATTAGCTGCATGACAAAAGTTTACAAGAACATGTGTCACAATGCTTAGTTTTGAGATCTACACAACAGTGCCTTTATTCGAGGATATTTAGGGGGAAATACAAGTGACCACTACTTTGCATCATGAGGGAAATACTTTCAATTTTACCTGCAGCTTCTAATAGGGAACTGAATGGAGCGGCACACTTTGAATAGCAGATGTCCTGAATTCAATTCAGACAACTGCAGCATATCACTATGGCTACCTGCCTAGGCAGCTCGTTACATTTCATAATGCTTTAGTGCATCTTCCTGGTTAGTACACAAACAATAAGCTAACAAGAACACAACTGCTGGTGCCATTCACGTAAATGAAAACTTTAGCCTATATTCATTCATGGAAAAGTCTGGCCGACATTCAGGGGGCCGCCATACAATGGCCTCGAAAAACAAGCCGAGTACTGAAACTAGATATCATAAGACGCCACTACAGCTTCAAAACAAGTTTTCTTAAAATACAAAGCAGGCAACTTTTCTACAGTTGAGTGGGATATTAAGTGATACACAGAAAACAGGTATGAAGAGATATACAAATTGGCAATACAAGCATAAATTGACAAATATTTGCAAGCAGTCTCCACAATAAATGGTGCAACATTACTGGATATGCCTCGTTCTTTTATTTTATGCATTGCAATAGACACACACTCAATGCATACAGCTTCCACCAGAGTCCACCGAAAAATCTACTTGCATAACTGCTTGAGTGGTAGCACACTATGCCTGCAGGTAATAAGCCAGTACAAAGGTTATACCAGTGCAGTGCATCAAGATATTATCCGTTCTTAGTCTTGAAAGACTAGCATGTTTGATACTTGCTCATCATGCCAGGAGTTAGGAACTTTCGCATACTATGTCAATGATACAGGGCAATCATTCTTCAACCAGAAGAATGCTACTTGCAGAACAGTGGCTGGCTTTCAGCCAAGTGGAAATACTTCAAAAAAGCATAGCATTGCATCCGTCATGGAAAAAGAAAGAAAGCAAATGTGTGATGGCATTCATGTAGCCCAGGAGTGGGCAGCAGACTCGGAAAACAATTTCATTGCAGTAAAGCCATAGTGTACATTCGTAAGCCCATGGGCACTTGTGACCCTCTCTTCCTTGTTCAAGCACAATTCGTTCCCACGGAGTGCCACAGCATTAAAATTTTCCCCCGTATGTTCATATGTACTGTCTCTGAATCCCATGCATACTCCCATTGGATGTTCCCCCGTATGTTCATATGTACTGTCTCTGAATCCCATGCATACTCCCGTTGGGCTGTCACTTGACAGAGAAATGATAAATTAACAGGCTAGTAGTTCCAGTACTACCCTAACGCTGAGAGGCTACTACGTACGAATTGGGATGGAGTGCATGAAAGGAAAAGGGCACAGGACGACATGTAGGGAAGAACGGTGGGGCAGGCCCTCAGGTGCACTCCAGCTCCATGGTGATGTCGTCTTCGCCAGTGGAAAGCACCGCAGCTGTGATGAAGCCGATGCGCGAGACCCTGAGGATCACCTCGACAAACTGCAGCTTCCAGACGTCACTCTCGGTAGCTGTCGCATTCGGGTCACGCACCAGCCCAAAACCGCACTCGAAGAGTCCCATGCAGCTGTTGTACTCGTGCACGACACCACTCACGTTGATGCGTGCCAGTCCATGTTCCTCCACTTCGCACTTGACCGAGCGCACATTGGGATGGAACATGCGGCGGGCACCCCCGGCCAGCTGCCACAAAAAGCGTGAGGCTGGCTCCGAACCTCGGATTGAGAGCACGCGTGGAGGGTTCTCCCTTCCAGCAAGCTTCTCAAAGCACTGCACCTGCAGGTTCAAGAAAAAGGTTTGTAAGTCGCTAAGAATTCTCATACACCACAATGCAGCAGTACTACAAGCCCGATCAAACACATGCACACACACACACTTGCACACAAACAGAAAAAAAAAAAGAAAAGCAATATTAAAAATCATATAATCAAATGAAAGCACGATAGCAAAAATGGCAACATGAACTATATAACATGAACAGCACAATACAAAACCATTCAATATAAAGGTTAATAAACAACAGGTGAATTAAAAAAGAAAGGACAACAAGGAAATTCAATGAGGAAGCTGCTTCTGTATGAATGAATGGGGAGACCGTCATCAATGGGACACTTCAAAGATTATTTTCTGTGTTAGAAAAAAAAATGTTCCAGTAAAACTGCAATTATAAGAAAAACTATTAATATACCTTTCATTGAGGTGTAGGGGGTGGAGCACATTTGGCAAGCACTCTCAAATTGTGACAGGTAGATTTCATTACATTTTTATTTCCTTAAACACCCACGAGGGGGTATTACATAAGGGGTGGGTAATTATAAAGACAAAACATAGAAGCCAAAGATTTAACATAGAAAGTGCTTATTGATATTTTCTATGAACGATGATGGGCACGGAATGATTGCGATTTCACTGGGAAGGCCGTTCCCGTCTGGTGCGGTACGTGGAAAAAACGAGGCAGAAAAAGTAGAAGTCCGAGAACCTGGCCGAGCAACTTGAAGCAAATGGCTCGTGCGGTGAGATATGCGTGTTGCGGGAACGATATAAGGTGGGGCACGCAAGGGACTATGAAAAGGTTTGTGGAACAATGACAGGCTGGCAATACGACGGCGAAGTTCTAGATCTGGTAAACCAGATTCTGCTTTCAATCCAGATACGCTGACAGTGGAAGAGTATGAACCGTGATTAAATCTAGCGGCCCGGTTTTGAAGCGATTCGATGACATGTGTAAGATAAGATTGTCGAGGGTCCCAAATTGGCGATGCGTATTCTAGTTTAGGTTGAACAATGGATTTGTATGCTTGTAATTTTACGTGTTGTGGAGCGAGGCGCAAATGGCGTTTACAAAAACCCAGTGTTTTATTTGCAGATGAAATGATATTAGTGACGTGTATGTTCTATGAAAGATCTCTACAAAGAGTGACGCCCAAATACTTGTGTGACGGGACATTTTCTAGGGGGATAACATTAACTGCGTATGGATACACAAGCGGCATGCGGCGGCGATGAAATGAAACGACTTTACATTTACTCGGGTTAAGTTCCATGAGCCAGCGCTCACACCATTCCTGGAGGCAGTTTAGGTTGGCTTGTAAGGATGACTGTTTTGAAGTGTCAGTAACAGTGTCATATATAACGCAGTCATCAGCAAACAGGCGGGTTTTGCAGGTTAGGTTTGAAGGCAAGTAATTTATGTATATAAGGAATAAAAGGGACCAAGAACCGAACCCTGGGGTACTCCATATTTTTTGAAATTCACAATTTCTTCTCTATGAATTACAAACTTCTGTGGTCCGAAAACACTTTTAATGCACGATATATCTTCGACACAGTAAGTACTTGTTGAACGGATGTTCATACATAGTGCAATATTACACAATTAAGAACATGGAAGACTTTGACAAGATTTCTACAGGCATAGATAGCAGGAAAACTGCAGTTACGTCTTTTAGCATCGAACACCTTACACAAATGCCTTGGTAATATGTAAACTAGGTTTGGTACTGAAACAAGAAATGATATTCTCAAAATAAATTACCTGACAAAAATCACTCGGATGACATAATGCAAGATTTGGAAGGCTTCGAAGTGACTAAATGTTTTTTTTTTTTTCACTTTGAAGTATTCGAGCAAGTTACTAGCAATGTAGGGAACTATCCAAACGACGACAAAGCAGCAAGAAACGGCAAACCACAACATTGGTGCACACGCGCGACCCGAGCTTGCGCTTGTTTGTATTTTCGGCCTGTTGACGTTCCTTGCTCTTCTGGCGTTCCTCGGCCTTCCAGCAGGTCTGTACGTAAATAAACTACGTGACATCTGGTGGGCGGCGTGGCAGGTTGAGCATATGGCATAAGCTGTTGCGTAGGCCGAGCAGCGACAGCGGCGTACGTGAGAGGTGTAGTGACAGGTGGTTGCTGATGCATCGGTGGAAAGGCCTCAGCGACCTGGGTCCGAATGACGTGTTGGAGGTCCGGTGCCAAAGCTTGCGCGGGCTCATGTGTCAGTGGCACCAGTGACAGCTGGCGCACTACCTCTTCGCGGACGAAGTCCTTGATTGTCCAAAGCAGCGGCTGCTGATCGGTAGAATGGGCAGCTAGGTGCAAGCTTGCGAGCGTGTCTGGCGTCGTGAGGGCTTGACGAGCAATTGCACGCTGCCTACGCAACTCATCGAAGCTCTGACAGAAGGAAACAAGCACAGCAATTGTGGGGGGATATCTCACGAGCAACATCTGAAAGGCGCCGTTGTTAATGCCTTTCAAAATGTGCCTAATTTTTTCTTCCTCAGGCATGGTAGAGTTGACGCGGTTGCATAGATGCAACATATCTTAAATGTAGCCCGTGTAGGTCTCGCCTGGTTGCTGCGCATGGTGACGTAAACGCTGCTCGGCTTGAAGCTTGCGTGCCGCAGGTCGTCCAAAGATGTCCGTAAGAGCAGTCTTGAATGCAGACCACGTAGGAATGTCAGCAGCGTGGTTATTAAACCACAGTTGCGCGGTGTCCGCAAGGTAGAACGTGACGTAACCCAGCTTACTTGGGTCGTCCTATTTGTTACTTGCGCCGACTTTGTCGTACCTCGCCAACCAATCTTCGACGTCCGACTCAGTGGAGCCCGTGAATTTAGGAGGATCTCGTTGAGGATACACGGCGCCGCAAGTGACATGGACCGTCGAAGGTCCGACCTGGAGAGGCGTCTTAGTGGCCATGTTCGTGTCACGTAGAGGGGGAAGCTTACGGGAGCGAAGTTCCAGATTTGTATGGGAGTCCACATACCTCCACCAGATGTCACGTAGTTTATTTACGTACAGACCTACTGGAAGGCCGAGGAACGCCAGAAGAGCGAGGAACGTCAACAGGCCGAAAATACAAACAAACGCAAGCTCGGGTCGCGCGTGTGCACCAACGCTGTGGCTTGCCGTTTCTTGCTGCTTCGTCGTCATTCGCATAGTTCCCTACAAACACAATAAATCAGAGGTTAGCATGGCAGAATTGTCGGAACGTGCCAAGCGAGATGATCCCCCTCCCCTTCTCCTCTACTGCCAAACATAATCCGACTAGATTTGGGAGGGGCGCTTGCTCGGTCCTCGACCATTCAATATAGAAGTGGGAAAGTCACTAAAAACAAAAAATTCCCATCCATGTTTCTAATTAAATGCTTCATTTATAAAGCATTTCATAAACAACATTAGATAAGCATTCAGTGTACTCATTCTATTGGTCTTCTTGCACAAACGGTGCTCGCCTTGAAAAAAAAAAAAAAGTGGCTGCAGGAGAGAAGGTGGACAAGGGGCGCTTGCTTCCATATTTACGGTATCGGCCCCCAGCAGGGTGTCAAACCTCCTCCCAGGGTTGCAGATTTGGCTACAATATGCCAGATTGGCAACATTTAAAAGGCCGCGGCGGCAAAAAATTTACGTTGGCTACTTGGCTACCTTTTGGATATTATTTTAACACAAGCATGAAAAGCCAATATACGCTAAAACAGACCCTAACAAAAAAAAAAGTATTAAGTGTTCATTCACGTTGCTGGATGCGGCTCCCTCGGTGTAATCGCATTTTTTTCACTCGTATACTGGAAGCAATTGCGTGCACCTAAAATGCGACCCGGCCGTCATTGTTTTCTCATTACTAATGGAACTCTCATAAGTTAGGCAGCATTGTAACGTAGCTGGCGAGGAACACGTTCCCCGCTGTCCGCCTCACGCACTAATGCTCTCAGCTGTATAGGTGGCGCCACCCTAGGCGTACGTAGTCGAAAATTTCATGCGCTCAGCTCATAGAAGCCTTTGCACAGTGAGATGTGTGCACTGTTTTTGTAGTCGGTTTTTATTATTGTTTAATATTTTCAGTGCCGACTCTGCTGCACTTGTCAGCCATGATGTTTTTTATGCAAACTGGTCTATTTTATTTGTTAGGAAATGACGAGCCCGTTTTTCATCACTGTACACGCGCGTGATGCACTGCATGCGTTTCTTACGTGAATGTGTCTAAGCTGTTGTTTGCGTGATCTGTTAACACAGACGCAACAAAAAAACATTTGCATGCGAGCAGCCCAGCCAATTTTGTTTTTTCTGAGACTCTAGCTAAAGAATGCACATCCCGACATCTGTAATTGAACTGATTAGGATGAACGCTTCGAAAACCTAGCCAAGAGATGTAATTCACATTAAAACAGCGCCAAAGATAAAGAACAAAAAAAAAAAAAGAAGGAGACAGACAGTGGGGCTGACTTACAACAAGATTTATTTGCTAGAGCCGTGCAATATATATTTGAGCAGTATCCGACAAATATATGAGGAACGATAAAACAAAGATAAAAAACAAGAAACACTTATGACTGCGTAATTATCGTGATAGCGCCATGAACATCACGTGTATAAGCGTTATGAAGAAAATCTATTTCTTTCTATGACTGAGCAATCGAAGGCCTGCTGACTCATACACTGCCTAGCCTTGCTATTTCTGCGGACTCATAAATTTCATGTATCATCTGGTCCCGATCACACTTAGCCACAGCACAATGCTGAAAGTTAGGGGAGCAGCCGCAGTCTCAGCAACACATGCCAAGACTGCCACTGAGGCTGCTGAAATGGCAAAGGCTGGACAGTGTATGTGTCAGTAGGCCTTCGATTGTTCTATCACAGCAAGAAATAGATTTTCTTGAGAACGCTTGTTGATTGATTTGTGGGGTTTAACGTCCCAAAACCCCCATTTTTGATTATGAGAGACGCCGTAGTGGAAGGCTCCGGAAATTTTGGCCACCTGGGGTTCTTTAACGT